AAAAAGTATTCCCCTTCTACTAGTTTTATTCTTCAACTTCTTCTTCTCCAGACTTTTACTCCCTCTTATTTATCCTCCAATAATATATTTTTCTTCTTTTTTCATCCCTATTCATTTTCTTCTTCTTTATCTCCTAATTTTGTTATATATAATATCAAACCATTACTAAAAAATCAAACATCCATGATCGCTCCGAGCCTCAAGAGAAATAGCAAGCGTTACACCAAACCTTATTTAGCTAACGAAAGATAAAGATGCCTTATAGAGTTATAGTGCATATGAAGATTATTTTCTGAACATGCCTAAACTAATTAACATGGCAAGAAATAGTAATCGGAATGTGTAAATGGTACTCGTCTTTAGCTTATTTTAAAAGTCTCAAGAACATTAATTGAACCTCACGAATCTGTCTCACCCTGATTGCGACCCAGCAATATTTTGGAATAATGGCAGTTGTGGCCATGTTTATGATGATAGAGTGTGTGGAGACGGTGAACATGAAAGTGAAACTTGAACACTCTATGCATCTACTTCTAAAATATTATTTATACCTCTTTGACTTGTGAATTTAACCAACTAAATTTAGGCTCTTTTTCTTTCTTGTTACTTCTTAACCTCTGGTTCGAATACTCGACCAGATTCTTCCATATATCTCCAACCGACCATCCTTTAATTACAACCAATTCCATTACCTGTAGCTAAAACTGGTATATTAGTTGGCACAAAACATTGCTCTGTTTTGTAATTTGATATAGTAATGAGCAAAACGAAACCTGATTTAGGTTATGAAGTGTTTCAAATCCAAAAGTGTAGTAAGACATGAAATGTCTTTTTGCCCTAGAAGACTGTAACGTTCTAAGCCAAACAGAGAGGAAAGACCAGCCATTGAATCCCTAATATATTAAAAGAGAAAACAATATAAAATAAACTTTTGTGTCATGTGGTATTAACAAAAATGCCATGCTGATGTGTCATCACAAGGTTCATTCTAAAGGTCAATTTTAATTAAGACATCATTTACTAGAATAATTACAAGTAATGCCACTCATATTATTTGGTTAGAGAAATCACATACATCTTATTTAACTAACCATTTTATTAATATTAATTTAATCAAATATTTTTTCTTTCCTTAATTGTCTCATACGAAAAATTAATTAAAAAAGCAAAATAAGGTATCCAATTACATCACATTTATTAGTTTTAAAAATCATTATATTTTTCCCATTATCTTTGTTTAGTTTTATTTCTTTTAAAAATAAAATGAATTGACATATGAAAAACATGATAAAAATAAAATCTAACTTTTCTGTATATACTGTAATTTGAATTTTTAAAAACTATATAAAAACTAAAACTGTTAAAAATTCCACATCAGAAATATTCTTAAATGATAGTTCAGAAATCTCTATAAAAAGATCCAAATCATGTGCAACCATATGAGTAGGAAAGCTCATTAGTAGGTATCCAAATATATAAGTTTTTCTTTATTCTATTTAATATGGTTTTTAAGTGAACTGTATAATTAGATTGAATAAAAGTAAAAAATATAATATTTTAATTTGACCAGAATTTTAAATTGTTATATAAGTAAAATTATTTTAATTGATCAATATTTATTAATCAATCAATCAGTAAAGCTTAAATATTTATTAGTCCATCAGTAAAATTTTATTTCAATTGTATTATACTAAAATCAATTTATTCTCCTATCATTTTTTGTGTAACTTTACTTTTCAAAAATAAACTATATCATCACATCAAAATACCTAATAAAACAAAATTAGTTTTTTTGGTGCAAGTGTTAAAAGTCCAACATAGAGTATGTTTTGGATAATAGTTCAAAAACCTATTATAAATAAATATCCAAATAATGATTGACCATGAGTAGAAAAACCAATTTAATAGGTTTCCAAACTTTAAAATTTTTATATTTAATTTAATTTGGTTTTTAATTGAGCTGAATAATTAAATTATATATCTAAAAAATTGTAGTTTGAAATTTTTTAAATATAATAAATTATCATAACTTAAATTATTTTCATTATTTAAAATTGATCAAAACATAAAATATCTATACCAATTAATATTTATCAAAATATATAATTATTTTATAACTTATTAAAAAATTGATATATATGTGTGCTCAGAAATTCACACTCAAAATTTGTGAGTATTATTTTGTAACAGAGAAATTGCGGTGGAATCAAATGTTATGTTCTCATAATGTAAAAATCAGAAAATATCACCCCGTGCAAGGCGCGGGTCAAACCCTAGTTGATAATTAAGTAAACAACTGTGAGAAAAAGTTTAAGATTATGACCAGCGAAAGAATAATCCATTGAAGAAGAGAATTGAGCTCCACCATAAGCAACACATCCCCAACTCACCATAGCAACACCAAATCCATCTTCATGATCTTTGCATTGCGTTTTTGATTCTTGCTGGTGTGGAGGAAACCAGAGAAAGCTTTATTGGTCTCCTGAAGAAGAAAGAAGTAAACAATTAAAAACAAAATACTTTGAAAAAGAAGAAGAAGTTCATAGACAGTTTGATGTGTAAAGATATGATTTAATTTTACGGTAGGAGGAATTCGGGTTTGTATTTGGAGATCCATGGTGATGTAGAGCATAGATGGCAATAATCCTTGTTTTTCGCCTTCCGGAAAACTGAAACGAAGATGAATATCTATAGAATGTCAAAAACTATTTCTTTCATAAGAAAAGTATTTCAGAATAACATTTAATGTCTCTGTGTATATAACTCAAATTATTTTTGTAAACATGTGTAATAAGAGAATCTTTCACTACCAACAACCTTAATAGCTTTAGTGACTTCCATTAGGAAGAGCATACCAGCGATCAATTCCGGATTGATCATGAACTAAATCTCTTGCAGTGTTTTCAGGAAGGATTTAAGGTTATGGTTCACAGACTTGGACACACCCCTTGCAAAGAGCACCACCTGCTAAGAACTTGTTGGCGAGTCAACTTCAAGAGCCACAATGCTTTGATCCCCGATCAAACCAGAAGTATATATTATCCTATAAACTGGAAACACAAATCTACTATCAACACATATGTTGGATTAGCAACCAAGATTAACCGTCACACAATTGATTACACATATGTTCTCCTTTCAAATAGCAACATAGTAGGAAGCAACCAAGATCAAAGTATACACACGTAGTGTACTCTTGGTCACACACATAACTTTAATGAATTATGCCACAAACGAATAAGCTTGCAATAAGCAGCAGCAACACCGAGCTACCTTATACCAAGTGCTAAACTTCTCACTTTGATTCCATCATCATGCAGAATCCACATACCATACGAAAATAATCACCCAATATACCAATCAACAAAAGAGGTAGCTTGAGTCACAAGTAATAATAGTTAGAAAACCCATCTTTCTCAAAATCCAATAGAGCTTTGACTTCTTACATCTGCCTCGAGAGGCAATAGAGAAAAACTGAATAAGTCCAACACAAATTTAGCCGTAATATCTAAAGAAGTAATAATAATAAAGCGACATATATGCCGGTTAGAGGCTCTCACAAAATAGAAACAATCGTAACAATCATCCGTAAGACTTCTACAACAATATATAGCTCAGCAAGAGTCCATACACCCTTTAAAAAGAATTGTGAATGATCCATGGATGAACTCTTGCTAAGAAGAACCCCTTTATAATACTAATAATGGAGAAAGTTTTTACCTCCGATGAATCCTTTAGTTTCAATCAATCCAACATCAATATATGAAACGATAAATTTGAGAGCTAACTTTCTAGTTTCCAATTTTTGCTTTTCTTTTCCTAGCACGCTCAGCTTCTTCAGCTTTCATAAATTATTATTAAGAATCGTAAATTGTGTTGATTCTGCTTGTTGCTATCTATCTATTTATATAAGACAAAGTCGGTTAATAAACCAAGGTTTTCCTGTTTTTTCTTTCCAATTTTTTTTATTTCTTCCAAAATTGTGGCGGATAATATGGTAATTAGGATTATTATGAAAACTATAAATCATAAAATTAAAAAAAAAATTATGAATATTTAAAAATATAATTTTCATTAAGGGTATGTGAGTAATCGACCAGCTGAGAGTTAACGTGGTGCCTCTAAACGAAATTTTCACTTCGCAAATAATATATTAGATTTGTGGTATATACAATTTTTTTTTTATGTGTTCTAAAAAATTTAATACAAAACTCTAATCCTTTCCTGATTGGGTTAATTTGTTGATCCATGTGAGTGAAAGTTGTACTGATTATAGCTATTCGTATTATAAAAAATGGATGAAAAATATTTCTTTTTTTGGAAATATACTCTTTGTTGAGTTTTTAATTTGAAAACTACTCTTTATTTTTGTTTGAAAAAATACACTTTTTATATGTGAAATAACTTAATTATTCTAATTTGAAGTTTTCTACTAATTTAATAAAAACGAAATTCAAATAAGAAATATTAAATATTAAAATTTGTTTATGATTTTGTTTCATTTTAAAATACTAAACAATCTTAATTATCTGTTTACATTTTATAAAAATTCTTATAAAATATAATGTTGTTTATATAAAATTTAAATAAGGGTGAGATTAAGGTTGTTTATATAAAGTTTCAAAAATATTTACATGTGATTAAAAGTAAACATTAAAAATGGAAGATATATATATCCACTTTTAAAATTTTAATAGTTTATAAAGTTTGAATTTGTAAAGTTTCATTTGGTTGTATTGGGATGAGATTAAAGTTGTTTATATGATGTTCTAAAAATATTAAAATTTGTTTAAAGAAAACATTGAAAAGGGAATATAAATTTATCCACTTTAATTTTTTTAAAAATTTTTATTTATCTGAGGAAAAAATCTTATTAATTCTACTATTTATTAATTTCGTTTTTAATCTTTTTTTTTTTTTGGAGGAGGAGGTGGATCTCGTCCTTCTTCATTGGTGCGCGCCACTTCAGCGGCGTGAGCGCGAGCTGCTTCGTCGGCCATCTATTGGGCATTTTGCTTCCTAAGTAGCTTCTCGAGCTTGTCTATCTCCGGATGTTCAACTAGGTTGTCCTTGTTGGACTTCCTAGTCATGCACCTGAAAAGATTCTAGGAAACAAACTAAATCAAAAGGGAAAAACAAATGCAAAAGCAAAAATCAAAGAAAAAGAAATCAAAAACTAAAAATTCAAAAAGCAAAAGCAAGTAAAACAGGGAAAGGTTCTAGACTAGATCCTAGTCGAGCTTCAAAGGTACTGCTGCAGTCCCCGGCAACGCGCCAAAAACTTGATGTGGAGTCAGGTTTTACCAAACTCCTAGACTCTGCAAGTGCACAGATCGCGGAAGTATGGGTATCGAACACAAGGACTGGCTATTGAGTACACTTTGAAACTATGGATTTTGGATCAAGCTAAAACAAAAGTATGATTGAGGTTGTAATGGTGAACCGAACTAGCAAGTATAACGAGGTTGTAAACAATAAGGGGAAACGCTAGGTCAACAGGGGCTAATCGCAGAGAAGCAAGCAATGATCAATGAAACAATGATAGATGAATTGATTAGGGATGTTGGGATATTAAGAACCGTCTAGAACACAGATCACGAATATAAAACCATTCCACTTTCGAGGCTCCGGCTCCTTTGTTAATCTACCTAGTCGCTAAACTTTTGGTATGTCCCTAGGTGATTAAATCAAGCTTTAGAATGAATAGGTTCTGATACAGTTCACTAGATTATAGTAGATCAACTTTCGCAGTCTAAGAAACCTAGCTTGCCAAAGAATATGTCCGGCGAATGATACAACACTGTCGAGGCTCAAATCAACCTAAGATCGGATTACTAGATGCGCGGTAAAGCAATCAGCATTAGTTAAGTGCACAAGACGAGACAAAGACTCTATATAATCCCTAGCTAATCATCGAAATCAAAGATCATGCAAACAACTCATTGATTAGTAACTCGTGGTCGGCCGCTGTGGTCGGACGGATGAAGACTTGGCCGATGAATTCTCGGCCGGACGCGGGACGTAGTTTCCCGGCTCGGACGGTGCCATCGGCCGTGGTACGCGAGACAGGTTGCGCGGCCGCGAGGCTTTGTTTCCCGGTTCGCACGGCATTGGCGTGAGCGGTTGTGGCGTGGCCGACCGCGGGTCTTAGTTTCCCGGGTCGTGACATGCGTTCGGCCGAACGGTTTTGAACTTTGGCAGGGATGTAATGACAGAAAAGCCCTTATTCGTTATGGGATCCGTTTTTAACTGCAAAGGCGACGTTTGGATTTTATTTAATTTACTCTTTACCTTCCCCAAAAGTTACGCCGACTGGAGCGACGACGAAGGTGAAAACCCTAGAATCACCGCCCCTCGCCACCGCCGTTGGGATTTCACCGTTTGGAGAACTCGTCGGACGAAATCACTTCTGAATCGCGTATTAGTCCATTCAAGTATCTCCCCGTGACCGCCTTTTCGTTAATCGACCGGAGGAGTAATCTTAAACTATGGAAGGTATTGTCCGTTTGACTGTTTCCGTTGATACCCTTCCTCCCTTTGGTCCGTTTAACTCTTTCCGTGATAGATTGCTTCTGGTCGTAGTTAGGTTATGTAGTTTTGCTAATAAGTATCGTATGTCGTCCATTGCTTGGTTTACAGGGGGCGAGGATAATCGTCTTCCGGTTAGGTTGTTGAAAACAGACCATTTTCCTAACCGGAGGCTGAACGTGTATGGGAAGCCTGACACCATAGCCTTTGTGAAGCATACGTTGCGGGATTGCCCGGAGGCGTTTGAAAGAATACGGAACTCTCGGTTTGGGAAACTTTGGGATTTTCCCGCCTCTCGGTGTCCGATTTCCTGCAAACTCATCCACGCTTTGCTCTGTCGGCAGCTGTTGTCCAAGAAGCGTTATGAGATGTGGACAGTATTCGGTGGTCAGCCAATGAGGTTCTCTTTGGCGGAATTCGCAAGTGTGATTGGGCTTCACTGCGGCGAGTATCCGGAGGGATACGACCCCGATTGGTATCCGCCTACAACAAAGGGACCAGACAAGTGGTGGAAGAAGTTCATAGGAAATGACTCTCGGAGAACGCTCGGAGACATATCTAAATCTCTTAGGAATGGTGAGGTCGAAGACAGCGAGCAGAAGCTACGTTTGTGTCTAATCCTTCTTGTTGATGGCGTCCTCTGCGTTAGCAGCCAGGTCCACAGGCCAACGCCGAAGTATGTGGCTATGTTGGAGGACATCGATGCGTTCTTGGAGTTCCCATGGGGCAGGGAGTCTTTCATAAAGACAATAGCGACAATGGGCCCGCTGGTTGGGAAGGAAGAAGATCCAGTGGGGACGCTTGTGAAGAACCTTGGGCAGGAGTCGTTTAGACTGCTGGGTTTCCCGCTCGCATTGCAAGTGTGGGCGTTCCAGGCAATCCATGTGCTTTCCAGATATCTCCCCGCATCCGCTACAGATGATACTCTACTCAGCTTAGAGGGAGAGGAATTCCCGCAACATCCGTCGCTGTCTTATGTAGACGTAATAAACGCCGAGAACCACCCTGATGTAAGAACCTCATCCTTCCCTCTCTATTTCGATATTTTGTTCGGTGTAACGCTTACTAACGCGGTTGTTGTACGGTCGTTGTTTCAGTTATCAGTGACTCCATTCATAGCTCTGGAACCAGAGCCGGGGTATATTGGTTGGGGTGAGTTTGCTGAACAAGAAGTCCAAGATAGGAAGGTCGCGTACCTGCATGAGCTACTCTCCAGAGAGCACAAATTCTGCAAGAGTGAATGGCCTGGTGGCTCTACTGAGTACGAACGGATTGAGCACCAGTACAAGCCGCCACAGGTTGCACACACGAAGCATATTTACAACCGGAAAAAGGGGAAGCGATCTCTTGGCGTCCGTTTTTCTCCTCCTGCTACACGGAAATCTGGTCGACGTAAGAAAAATGTTGTGGAATTAGATAACTCAGCGGGACCTGATGATTTGCTGGAACAGAACAAGTGGCTTTTAGATCAGGTTAAACTCCTGAAGGAGGAACAGTCGAAGCTTGCTGCCCGAACCACGGTACTTGAGCAGAAGAATCTGTTATACAGCGGAGGAATAAGGAGGTTTTCGTCCACGCAGGCGCGTTTCCCTCAGCGAAGGGCGTATCTACGTGACCAAGCCGGGTGGTCGAAGAAACGTGTGCATGTACGCATTCCATCTACGCGTTGCACTCCAGAGCCGTCGTGTGGTGGATCCCAGGGCGTGGAAGAAGATTCTGTTATAAGTCTGAAGGAAGGAGACAAGATCCCAGAACAATGGATGGACGACCCTTTCAATGATGAAGGAGGAATGAAGACGCCAGAACCGCGGGTATAGTTAATTCTGTAGTAAATGTGTCGCAACTTATAAATAAAACCTGGGGTGCAAAAAAGACATGTGTTTTTAAACAAATTATTCCGGTTGGGGAGACTGAAAGAGTTATGGAGGAGGCTGAATTCGTAAGTGTATTCTACTTCATCAAAAACTTTTTGTCGTTCATTTACAGACTAGAAACATAAATGACCGGTTTAGCATTACGAACGAACATGTGTTTTTATGGTGCAGTCGCCGAGTCTTAACCAAGGTGCCGGAAGGAGTGAAGATACGGAGGTGGTAGACAATGTACGTAGTAACTAATACGTACCTTCGGAACGATCATACACTGCTAACACAATGACGTGGTTGCAGGTGGTGAACTCACAAATCACTTCCGGTGATAGAGATGTACAGAAGCATAATGGTGAAGGAAGTCAGTCCGAGAAAACGATAGGAGGCGAAGAAACTACGGCAGAGACAGGTGGTGGGAAGGGGGTGGACTACCGGACGTGGAAGGAGGAGAGCACCGTGCACCAGTTGGACAGTCTAATGTGTTAATGGTTGACGCGGAAAAAGACGACGTCGATTGTGTCAGACCACATATCAGTAAAGCCAAAGGTGCGACCCTTTGTGTAGATACTGATATACGCGTTAGAGGTGTAGTGGTGTCTGGAAGGAGGAGAGCACCGTGCACCAGTTGGACAGTCTAATGTGTTAATGGTTGACGCGGAAAAAGGCGAAGTCGATGTGGTCAGACCACATATCAGTAAAGCCAAAGGTGCGACCCTTTGTACAGATAGTGAAGTACGCGTAGGAGGTGGAGTGGCCTCTGACGTGGACGAGGTATGTGTTTGTGCTTATAGAATTATTCATGAGATATCCCGCCATACCATTCTCTTTACTTATATTGATGATTGGGATATGCATCGTGTATTCTGTAGGGCGAAAATGCTGATGATGGGGATATGCATCTTCAATCGCTTATTGACGACATCGTCTCTGAGTCCGCTTCTCCAAAATCCCTCCACATGTTGGATCCGGCAAGCAGCATAGTTATGTCAAGGGTCACTGCCCCGGAAATCGGCGTGCCGTCTATGTATAAGGTTTGGCCCTCTGAAACGTCATCCAGAGAGGCAGCTGAGACGAGTTCCCGTGATTTTGTATTGGTAGAAAATACAAATGAATTTCCGAAGGTACGAACATTGTTCCGGTGCCGTGATGTTTTTTTAATTGTGTGGTTATTGACATGTGGACTGGAATGTCCTCATAAGACGTGTATGTGTTTTGTGCTGTTTGTTGCTGGATCGGACAAGATGATGTTGTTGATGAGTCTGTGGAGGAGAATGGCCGGAAGTGTACACGTCCTGTCGTGTCCAGTAAAGAAGTTTTGTCTGAGCCAGATGTCGTGGACGGGGAGACTTGTGTAAAGAAGAGTGTGGACGTTCGAGAGAACCCTGCCACAGAGAAGATGGACACACCGGATAGCTCGGGCGTGGATAATCCAGCTGTACAGGCAATGGTGGACGATCTGGATACAACTAATATTGCGGTGGCATGTCGATATCCTTCTGTGTAGAAGCGTTTTTTAGCTTATCTATGTATTTGATGTTGCCACGATGGAAAACAGATGGTCAGCGACTCCTCTCCACCGCCACGACGAACTGCACACTCTCCATCCGAGCTAGAGACTGCACTGGCAAACACACTAACTGCCTCTGAGCGACATGGACCTAACGTGCTTTTCCCGGAAGTGGATGGTCAAGCATTTGCGCTCTTCGAGAAAACACTCTCGGTGGACAGAGAATTGTATGAGTACCAACTTCTTCTCATGTCTTTGGTATTAGCTGTGTGATTGCTAACATGTCGATTTATTTCAAATTGTAGTTTGCACATCTCTCAGGACATGTATGATCTTGAGAACTCTTTCTTCCTTGATCTAGCGAGAAGCCAGGAATGGATGTCCACAAAGGTACACTCGAATTGCGATGGGTTTATTAGTTTTCGATTTGTTGATATATATTTAGTTGTTGATGGAGTAGTTATTTTGTAGCATATGGAGGTCCTGATGACGTATCTAGGAGCGAAACACGCTCACGTTTTGGCTCAAGAAAACTCCTCTTTTGTATCTCCATGGTTTGTAAACCACTTGCAAGGGAAATACCGGAAGTTCAAAGCGGCTATAAACAAGAATATGGTGCGGTGAGATGAAATTATAACTAGCTACGTGATGTTGCCAGGGAGGACGTGGCTGAAAGAGGTACACACCGTATACGCGCCCATGATTTGGAACGACGTCCATTGGGTTGGTTTGGCGATACATCTAGGGTCGCGGTATGTGGAGGTGCTGGATCCTTTCCTATCTCTCTACGCCGATCGAAGGCTGGACACATTCATGGCGCCTGTTGTGGAAATGCTTCCTCGCCTAATAAGTAAGTTTTGTCCTGCGGCTACACAAATCAACACCCCTTTCAGTTATGCTCGGATGTCGAAAATTTATGAGAACAAGCGTGTTGGCGACTGTGGACCGGTGGCGGTGAAATTCATGGAGATGCATGCGTACGTTGACCCCCCACCTCATCTCGTGGGAGTTACAGATGCTATAATGGATGATTTCGGCAAGACGTATGCCATGGAGTTATACCGGGATTTGGTTGTCCCAATCTACTTCCCGCCAGCGTCGCCCTAGTGACTAACCAAACTCTTCTGTATTTACTATGATGTGAAACCCTCTATAATCTCTTTTTGTGGGTTGCATACATTACATATTCGGCAAGTCGTGACTAAACAGTTGGTATTTTTGACGGTGCGAAACCTTGCAATGTTAAATGTTAGTGGGTTGCATCTACTTAATTAGCGGCATTGGGAATATATCGAATGTTTTTGTTTGTCCAACTGAAATAGGTAAAATTAATTTGTTTTGTTATGTAAGTAAAGTAGGAGTGGATGAGCTGCGATGGATGGATTGAGTTATGAAAAGGGATTATCGTTAGTAATATTCGAAAGAACCTTTTAAAAAATTACAGAACTGAAGCGATAATTTGACCCGATATGGGTGTGTGGATAGGACCATGTGGCTGCGTGGGACTATGATGACGCGTGACTGGACTAAAGATTTCCACCACATCGATTTCGTGGATACGGGATCTCGTTTTAAGTGTCGTGGATGGGCCATGTGGAAATCTAAAACTACGGAAATGAAACGCTAGTTTGGGGCTTTGGTGTGGGCCAGATCCGTCGGTGTGGATGGGACCATGTGACTGCGCGAGGCTGGATAAAAATCAAACTTCCCCGAATAATCAAAGTAACCGCAGCCGTTGATTTAAGCCATACCATTGGGAGTATCCATTTGTATTTATATGTGTGGATGACTCGTGTCTGGACGGATGCCAGCTGCGTACAGGGTCGTGGATAGGACATGTGGTCGTAACCGGATATCCCAACTCTGTACATAAACCCTAGAGGGAAAAAACATAACAATGTCGAACTCGATCTCGTGTGGCGGATATTCCTGGGAGTAGGAGGTAAGTTTATTTATTAACGGCGAAATCAGTGTTGTCGTTTATATATGTTAGTTGTAATAAAGTTGTTTTGGTTGTGTAGAACAATGAGCAATTTGTCTGGCGCATCGAGTGGTTCGTCGAATAACCGTTGGAGGGGAAGGGTTGTGGGAGTGCCAAGAAAAAGATGTTGGTGTGGGAAAACAATCCTGCAGCTGATATCAAGATCGGAGACAAATCCGTTCCGCCGATCGTTGTGGTTTTGCTGTAGCTACAAAGGTAAATGGAAAATTCATTTTCTTTGGTTCTGGACAGTTCCCAATCATTGTTGTCTTATACTCCCTCTGTTTCAAAATATAGGGGGTTTAAGACTTTTTTTTTTGTTTCATAATATAAGGTGTTTTCAACTTTTTGGTTGCTTTTTACTTTATTAAATGTGCATATTGTTTTTTTATTGGTTGAATTGTTTTGGAAATGATGATAAAACATGCTTTATTTTGAAAACTTAAAATTAAATGAATTCTTAATTCTTGTGTCCAACCCTAAAACCCCTTATAATATGAAACAGAGGGAGTATAGGTTTTGGTTGAAAATGAATGTAGCTTGCAAACGATAATCACACTTTCAAGTGGGTTGATGAGGCTCACTTAAACGAGATTGAAATACTAAAGGATAAAATTGCAAGGATGGAGGAAAAGCTAGAAGAGGCTACAAATGAGGGGAAGGAGTGTGATATAATCGAGATAGTGGAGAAGGCGTATCGAGAATCATCATCTAACATGAAAAAAATGGTGATTGCTGTAGGCGTAGGATGCGTGTTCATTGTTGGAGTAAGTAGACTTGTGGGTTGAAGGTGTGAGTTATGATGTAATATTTTGATGGATGTGTTTACTTATGCTAGCATCTGTGATGTTTGGAAATGTGATCTTTTTTTTAGCTTTCTCGGATGGGGTTTACTGTGTTTCGCAGGCTGAAAACCTAAGTTCAGGATAATCGATATATTTTGGAAGGTGATGTTCTTAAATTTTATAACTGTGGATGGTCTATGGTGGCTAAGGTTTTAATGGATGTGTTTACTTATGGTAGCATCTGCAGACTTCCCCCGTGGTTGGAAATGTGATGTTTTTGTAAGCTTTCTCGGATGGGGTTTTACTGTGTTTCGCCGACTGAAAACCTAAGTTCAGGATAAGCGAAATATTTTGGAAGGTGATGTTCTATCGTGGCTACGGTTTATCATGGATGGTCTATCGTGGCTACGGTTTTGATTAAACTCTACACGTAACAAAAAACCCGGGGTTCCCATGGATGTTTGTTCGTGGACGAGTTTATATGCTCCCTTCACGTGAAAATAAATGTTATTTCACTATTTCTGGGAGTTAGCAGGAACACATTTTTGCCTAGTACATTTTGCTTCGTCCACATTCGGAGATAGTAAGCATAGGATGAAAACATACGCCGATAAAGCGTGCGTCAGCAGTATATACGTAAACCCGAGAAGAAATTAAAGCGTTGCGGTGTACGAGAATAAATGAAAAAGGAGAGTTCCGCATATGGTGTCCATGTCATCTCGTACAGAGATCGACATTGTTAAGAGTACTTTGGAACAGGCCATTTGCGTGCCAATGAATAATAGATAACTCGCACAAACTAAATGTCTGTGCAAGCTGGGTTACATCTAGACTACTTGAGGGAGCCGTAAGAGCCATGAGACTTGCGAGGAGACCACACGCCACAGCCAGCTTGAAGTGTAAGGCATATTTGGCTTCACGTTTCCTGGCTGATTCTTTTAGCCATTCAATCTCGCTTGCAGGTTGGTCGATACGTTGCCCTTCCTGTATGATGTAGATAAGCTGTGTGTCTAAGTCCGCAAGATCATCCTTTAACTCGGCCAACTCTCGACAACTGTTTCGTCCCACCACGTTATGAGGTTTGGCTCTCCATCCTAGGAAATTAATAATTAGTGTATGACCCCAATTACAGTCGAGGGTTAGCCATAGGGCAAATTTCACTTACCATAGTGTTACCCGTGCATATGTATAGTTTTTTTCCATCGTGTGAAGAGCGAAGAGCAACATCACATCCACATCTACATTTTTTCGGAATCCCCACACGTCGATAACCTAGATAGCTCCTACAGGTGGCAGGATAAGAAATGGATGATTCGTTGTTGTTACTGTAGTTCATATTTGTCCTGTTTGGCTGACCAAGTATAGACATGTATAAGGAAAGTACGTAATCTGACGGGTGGGAAGGAAATAAATCCTCCGAGAGAACTACCAATTGTCAGAACTGAAAATCTTTACACTGATAATGATAAATTGGAACGCAAAAATTCTCCCACAAATAAAGCACCACATGTTCGATAAAACTAACGACCACTAGTAAGCAAGGTGGATCGAAACGGAGATATAAGCTGACCTGATTTGGACAGATAGAGATCTGGCCGTCCTTGGAGACTAATTTTCCCTCCTAAGTTTTCGATGTGAAGCTATGAACGCTTTTCGGTTGTCTGACTCATAAAAGGGAGTGTGGCAGCAATATCGATAATATTGGGTGTCCTGAGTTGTCCGAGTGTCTTTCTTCTGTCCGGCAATCACACTTGCGTCCATGTGTAAAAGTCCATATGGCTATGACCCAATATTTTCCATGGCGGATGTACGGTGTGTAGGAAACAGAGTCTAGATGTATCGAATTGGGGTACCTAAATCAACGAGTGCATTATTACATTACGGGTGTATAGTGTGTCCAGCGGTTAATGTCCATGAGTTCAAATTGATACCCCAGCTTTTTAACCTTTATTTTACTTTATTTAAATATGCCACTAAAATTACGGCGTGTCGTCCGTGGATTTATCAGAGTTTCAATAGACGAAACACATTGTTTTATTTGCCGTCAGAGGAGTCTGGATATATTTTGAGCCAAAAGTGTCGGCGGATCTTAGTTTGAGCACATGAACTGAAATTGGCGCTTCAAAGGTTGAACATCGGAACCCGATATTAGCAAAATATCTGCTTCACGTTAAGGTTCGTTGTCGTTCACAACAGTTCCCTATTGTTGTTTCCTTTTTAGAGGAACCTATTTGCGAATCCGCTTACACGTGGGAACTGTATTGTTGATAGATAGGTACATCTGGAAATTTGTATAACGAATTATGTCTTCTGTATAGGGAGGGAGAGAATGGCTTTCTGTCGCAACAGTGTTTACACCAGCGATTATGAAGGCATCCAACGAAACACCATCCTTAGAACATACCCTGGCAAGCAAGGGGTTGGGATTCCGAAAAGATGTCAATGTAGTGGGGACGTTGGTCTTCGCACCGCTCATGATGGTAGGAATTCTTAGAGTGCATCAATGACACCATGGTGAGGGTATTTAGCTTGTGATTGTGATCAAATTAATCGTATTGTTCAATGGGGTCTGACCATAACATCAAGGGATGTATTTGTGATTGTGGTGGGAGGAACCTATCACCGAGCAGTTTGATGAGCTTTACAACGAGCTGGACGACATCAACAACCACGTGACTTGCATGGCGATGGACTGTGATCGTTTCAAGAAGCAGGGTAGTGAGATTGAAGTGCTTAAGGAATAAGGAAGTAAACGCGATATCGAGACAACGAAGGTGGTCAGGATTAGTGTGGCATGCGGTGTAGTGGTTCTTGTGTTGGCTACGATTATTGCCCTTCTAAGATAAGATGGAAATGGCGTTCGTTATGCAAGGGTTGTTGTATGCCTGGTAACTGAAAGACTTGTAACCTCCCTATAAATACATATCGCTCTGACTTTGTTTCGGTAATCTCTTCTCCCGACAATTGATATTCGGTAAACTCGTTTTCTTCTATGTGTACTTTGTTTTGTTTGTGTATGTTTTCGAAACATTTACTGCCCGTCGTCTTCGGTCCATTTTGAATAGTTATTATATCGTCTCTGTGGATTGTTTTTTTCCAGTAGGTAATGTGTATACTTATCTGTCTACGTTTAGCTAGTTTTGATCGTATATGATGTGAAACCTAATTTGTCCACGTACGTTCGTCCATGACGGTTTAAAATTTATCCAGAGCGGCTTGCGTAAAAATCGTTATTCGCTAGTTTTGATCGTATATGACGCGTAACATAATATGTCCATTAACGTCCATCCATACCTGTTTGGTTTTCGTGGTTTAAAATTCATCCAGAGCGGCTTGTGTACAAAGTGGTTTCCGCTATCTTTGTTTATTTTGTTTTGTTCGTGTATGTTTTCGAAACATTTACTGCCCGTCGTCTTCAGTCCATTTTGAATAGTTATTATATCGTCTTTGTGGATTGTTTTTTACCAGTAGGTAATGTGATATCTGTCTACGTTTGATCGTATATGATGCGAAACGTAATCTGTCCATGGACGTTCGTCCATGACGGTTTAAAATTTATCCAGAGAGGCTTGCGTACAAATTTGTATTCGCTAATTTTGATCGTTTTTGCGTATATGCTTAGACCCATAGTTTTGATCGTATATGTGTCTGTGCGAGTTCGTGTGTTTCGAATAAAAAGTATGTCCACCGAGACCCCGTACATACGACGCATTTGTTCTGGAGGGTTGCTAACGCGATTTGGTGTAGTGTGTACCTCCAATGCGGTCTTTCCATCTGCTACCGTCGTAATGGATTAAGTTATCTAACATGCAAAACGTAAAGTTCCTCACTTCCCATGCATAGTAATAATCTCCAAAAGGAACAGGGAGCATACAAAAACAGTATGGAGTTGTAGACAAAAACATCTCGTTGGGAAAGTATAATAATACAAAACCAAAAGGTGTTTCTTCAAACAGAAAAAGAGACGACTGCGGGGTACTTCGAGCCAGCCTAATGTTTAATCGGGTTTTTGCAGCTGGTCCTGTTGTGTCCGGCACCCAAGCATCGTGAGCACTTGTTCGGCACTTCCTTTTTGGCCCTTGCAACCTACGCAGATATTAAACGATGATACTGTTAGGCATGTTACATATAAGAGCAAAGCATCTAGTTCAAAATGGGTTAGGTGTGTTTCGTACTGGAACTTCACCTGTGGATGGGATTCTAATTTCTTTAGGCCTTCCCGGCGGCCTCTTTGTGTTAGGCGGCATTACATTTTTTTCACCAACGGTTGGGGGCATGTCGTAATCTACTGCATCTTCCGGCGGGGTTATAAGCTCCTCGTATGTGTCCACCCAGATTGACGGTTTTAGGGTGTTCACTAGCAAGGACGAGTATGAAATACCAAGTCTATCTGCGGCCATCATTGCGTGTCCACATGGAATCTTCAGCTTGTCAAAAACACGACAGGAGCATCTCTTCTCTTTTAACATGACTTGATGTTTTTCACCAAACGGACCAACTATCTGAGCGCTCCAGCTGGATATCGAATTGATTCGACTCCCCTTGCAAGCAGCCAAATTTGCTGTTAACACCTTATCCACTTCAGGCGTACATGACCCCCTGTTTCTTAGCGATTTGTTCCTCCTAGCGTTAAACCACCTGGTCATCATGTCCTGGACGAATTTGAGTAGTTCCATAATTGGAGATTTCCGACCACCGCGGAGAGCCTTGTTCAGCTGCTCTGCCGCGTTACTTGTCATCAAAGTAAGGCTCTGTTTTGTTGCACAGTAGAAGGCCGTTTGTGAATGTGAGAAACCTTGAGGAAGCAAAGTTTCTGTGTTTTTGCTGGGCAGCGGAAAGCATGAATAGTCATAGGCTGAAACGAGTGATCTTTGAGATGGAAGATGATTGTCTTCTTGGTGTGGTGAATCGACCTCAAGCGTGGCCTTCCTTTGGTTTTCAAGCATCTGAGTTGCTCATGTTACTATCAGCTTTTGAAGAATGGAAAGTAGTGAAGAAAAAACCAGAATCAAATAGAGGAGCTAATCTCATTGCTCAAAGTGTCACCAATGATTGTCACCTGCATTCGTATGTTGCGTCCAATCATCCGTCATGGTTAAATGGTGTTTTTAACAGTGAGAAAGTTTTATCCTCTTCTTGATATTTTCGGTTATGGCTCCTTTTGTTTGTTGGGGTCCTTCTGGTTAGAATAGTGTTCGGGTGAGTTTGTTATCCCCTTTTTCCTTGGCTGGGTGTTCCTCGAGAGTCGAGGCTTAAGTTATGGCTTCAGTTTGGGACAGTTTAACTCTCGTTGAATTTCAATATATTATTCAGACGGTCAAAAAAAAAAAATCACATAAAAAGAATTAGAATGTAAATAAACAAAAATAAAATGAGTAGCTTATTATTTTTTATTTTATTTTCCTTTAATGTGAAAAAGGAAGGAGAGTGAATCTCTCACAGCTTTTGGGTCTTTAAATCAGACTCTGGATTTCACCCTATCCCCCTTTCTCTCTCCTCTTTCGTTTCTCGCGATTTCTAGGGTTTGTTGAATTCACGCGTTATTCTTCTTCTTCAACTCGCGACTGGAGAAGTCATTCATTGCAAGGTAAGTATCTGTTATCCCTTTCGTTCGTTCGATCGGTTACTGTATTGGATTTTCGTTGATTTTCTTCTCTCTCGGTTTGTTTTTTTCTTTTTCCCCACCGTCAAGTGAATTTTGAACGAAAATTTCAATTTTTTTCGGTTGATTGCTCTATAAACCCTTTGGATCCGAAGACGGTCTTACTTTTCCTGCCCAATTTCTGATTTTCTCCGTGTAGTTTCGTGTTTTGATCACAATTTTGGATTTTTTACTCGAATGCATCTAATGGGTGATGATATTTGCTTAATCAATTTGTCCGATTGGTGTTGGCTTAGTTCGGAATTGGGCTCGATAAGTACGTTTCCGTGATTTGCAATCTGCAAACGTTTATCGTTCTGAATGATTCATGTTCATAGCTTGAAAATTCGCCCCTTAGACTCTCGTTTTGACTATGTGTTTATGTTTCATGAATCATTCTCTTCCCCTATGATCCCTTCCAGTTTAAAAAAATCTTCTTTCTTTGTCATTGACCTCTCTCTCGCTTGAATTATGTTCTTACAGTCTTCTATTCAAAGCTTAAGTACCATACTTCGTTTGCTGGGGAATCACTCTGTTTTTTCCTTATGATCTCTTTATTTGTGTCCTTTCTAGCGTTGCTGAGTACAATTTTGTCCTGCTTTTGCTAGGTTGGGAAATTTTGTCTTTTTAAAAGAGATACAAATGGCTGGAGTACTAGCTGGGGAATGTTCGTTCAGTGAGAGTGGAGTTTCATCTCACTCAAGGAACTCTCATGAAAAGCAAGAGGAGGTTTCCCGCTGGTACTTTGAAAGAAAAAAAATAGATGAAAATTCGCCGTCAAGGTTGGATGGTATTGACTTGAAGAAGGAAACTTACCTCCGCAAATCCTACTGTACATTTTTGCAGGACTTGGGCATGAGATTGAAAGTGTAAGTTCTCTTTCCACCTCTATATTCTATTCCCAGATTGGTGCTTTTTTCTCCTTAAACTACCTTAAGCTGGTTTGGTCTTTCTTGGCATGCTAGTTCTTCAAACCTGTCATCCACATTGTGTAGAGATTATAGTTACCCCTTTACATATAGGTTTCGTATTATTGGAATTTGATTACATATGATGTGCTGCTGATGGTTTTAGGCATACTATTGTACTACCCATTAGTTCAACAGAAAATTGTAAAAGTAGTGATTTATTTTATCTTTCATTGACATGAATACAAGGAAAAGATTGTGAAGGCTTTACTGCCACATTGTTTGAATTTTACTCTTTGTAGTCATAGTTTCTGCACTGTTCAAAGCTTTCAATTTGTGGTTGGTTCTTATTGAAAGTGGCTGATATAGTTTTCCCGATCAGTCCTCAGGTTACAATAGCTACAGCGATAATCTTCTGTCATCGATTCTTCTTTCGCCAATCACATGCAAAGAATGACAGAAGGGTGAGTTTATACCTGAACAAAGTTGATTGCTTGTGTTATTTGAATCGCCATGCTTTAGTCTGGCTAGTGTAGAATTCAAGGTATTTCAGTTTCATGGATCCTTGGTATCCTTTTATATATACTGGCTCCATCTCCTTGCCATTTTTCTTGGTAGCTCTAGAGAGTACGCTACTCTATTCTCATAGATAGTTTCGCTGTTACTTTGATAGAAAATTAGCTTCTTACTTATTCTATGCACGGATTGATGAATTGTGATGTTTGGTACTGATCTATCTACTGAGCCCTTTCTTCATGTTGTACAGACGATTGCAACCGTATGTATGTTCCTTGCTGGAAAGGTTGAGGAAACTCCGCGGCCCTTGAAAGATGTTATTTTTGTCTCCTATGAGATAATAAACAAGAAGGATCCTGGTGCTGCGCAGAAAATCAAGCAAAAGGTAATGATCATACTACTTAATCTTCTGAGAACTCTTGCGGTCTTGCCTCCATTTAGCTAGTTGAAAGTATTTAAAATTTCCATTTAGCTAGTTAAAAGTATCGGTGTTCCCCAATATCTTCTGTCTTATCTGATGTTGAGATTGTGCTATAAGCTATAGACTTTTCTTCTTCGTGTTGTAGAATCATGGTCCTTTGATACTGATTTATTTTCTGCTGGGCATCATATTATTGTAATTGATGTTTATCACTTTTGCAGGAAGTATATGAGCAACAGAAAGAGCTTATATTGAACGGAGAGAAAATAGTACTCTCTACATTAGGCTTTGACCTCAATGTTCATCATCCTTATAAACCCCTTGTAGAAGCAATAAAGAAATTTAAGGTTGCACAGAATGCTCTTGCCCAAGTTGCATGGAATTTTGTTAACGATGGGTACGTTAAGTTCTATTTCCTTCTAAAGCTTCCAGTAATTCTATGTGCCTTGTATTTTCTTATTCATACAATAAAATGTGGTTTGCAGTCTGCGGACATCGCTCTGCCTGCAATTTAAGCCTCATCACATTGCGGCTGGGGCAATTTTTCTTGCGGCCAAGTTTCTTAAAGTGAAGTTACCATCAGAAGGAGAGAAGGTGTGGTGGCAAGAATTTGATGTCACACCCCGACAACTGGAGGGTATGTACATGATTCAAATTGATTTGACGACTCTTGTTTCCTTGTTTGACTTGCATTCCGTTTTTGGATATGATTTCAAGAGTAATGGGCTTTTGCGTATTTCAGATGTTAGCAACCAAATGCTTGAGCTATATGAGCAAAACCGCGTCCCTGCATCTCAAGGAAGCGAAGTAGAAAGTAGTGTAGCTGGAGGGTCAGCTCATCGCCCAGGCTCAAGAAATGCAGTTTCAACCGATGAGCATGTTGGTTCTAGGCAAACATCAGTGCGTTCAAATTCTGATAATCATGGGGGTTCGTCAAAAGGCGCTTTGAATCAGAACAATGATAATGGGGTTGGTGAGGCGGCTAATGTCAGTGTAGATAACAAAGAGGAGATAGAGAGAAAAACAAAAGAAAGCCCACTTCCTGAAAATCATCCAGCTCATAAGGACAGTGTGAGAGAAGACCCCCATAACTCTAGACCTTTAGTTGAGGGACCTGGGAAGGACAACTCAGAGAGAGAGGGTGGAGAGCTTCAAGATGATGGTGCTGTTCAGAAATCTAGAAATCTTGATACAGGTGACGCCCCAATCAGCCAATCGCCAAAAGACTTGAAAATTCTTCGAGATAAGGTCAAGGCTAAACGAGAGAAGGCGAAGAAGTTACTAGGTGAAAGAACGAGGAAAAAGGATTTGATGGATGAGGATGATTTGATTGAAAGAGAACTGGAAGATGTGGAACTAGCTGTTGAGGATGAAAAGGCGAAGCAAAGGAATGCACAGAGCAGGCCAAAGGCTGAGAACTCTGATATCATGGGTACAGAACATGGTGAAATTCAAGATGTCAAAGGTGGAGTCAAAAATACAGAGGAGGGCGAAATGGTAAACGATGTGTCCCCAATGATGCACAGCAGAAAGAGAAAAATGGGAAGCCCTCCTGAAAAGCAGTCAGAAGGAAAGCGACGTCACAGTAGTGAGAATGGTGAAGAAGGCCACAAGACGAGCAGAGGTAGTAGTCATCATGGTGATAGAGAGCGAGAGCGAGAGCGAGAGCGAGAGCACAGAAGACACTCACAAGAGAATAACCATTCATAAGAGAGGTAATGATTATTAAATCTGCTACTCTTGAATTTCATCTTGTGGTCTTTTTTTAAGACCTTTGGCTCTTTGATGCCCAACCATGTGAACTTGACTTCTACATGGGTCGGTTCAGTCGTTGGAACCATGCTCAGTGTATTTTATGTTGATTATATATCTATTCGTGGCCTTTTGGACAATCCAACGGCTTGAATGAGGAGTACTCATAATCCTTAAAAGGATGTTGAGAAGCCTAATTAGGCTCACCTTCTAATAACTGCTCCATGCTAGGGAACTTAAAGCATGCATTATCATTTATCATCTGCTTATTTCATTTGATCTTAAACTGGACAACGGTTTGATTCCGCTAGGCAACTTCATACTTTCATTTGCTTCCATTTACTTATATATACTCATTGAGAAAATGTTTCCTCTACTGTGGTAAGATTAGGTCATTGCTTGAGAAACTGATCATAGGTTGTGGTTAAGTCCACAATCACTTGGCAACTTCTTTGTGCTCTATTGTAAAAGCTAAGCTGAGTTTACTTTTGATGGATTCTCCAAAAGTTTGTATTATTACAATGTTTTCTAAGTTGTAAAAGAGAAACCATTGTACGGTGTTGAAGTGAATTGTGTGTACTTGATCTGTCAGAAATGTTCTTTTAATGTCAGACTTTCCATACAATACAAGTATAAAGCGATCGAGTATCAATAAAGTTGAAATTGCAAGGAAATGTAATTCGATTTAACAAATACTACAAGAGACCACGGAATCGTCAACACGAAAAAGGACAAATCTTTACTTGGTGATTGAAAAGTTTTACTGTTGAAAACCCTGGAGAGAGGCCAATAGAAAAAACTGCTGTGATTTAATTTTGTATGGATTAGCAGAGAAACCCACAGAACTTAGCCATGGAAATCGCTTCTTCTTCTTGTTCGATTCTTAAGAATCTTCAACTTTCTTGTACAAAGACTTCTCTTTTCACTCGATGTTTGAGCGAGCGATCGTCACACGACACTGGAAGAAGACAAAGTTCCTTACCTTTTTCCGATTACCCAGAAAAATCCAAGATTCTCGGAAAATGCCTGCGGTTTCAGAGACAGAGATTCTCTGCGCGTTGCTTATCAGCGAGTCGGGAAGATGTAAAACCATCTGAAGAACTTGCCGTGATACTTGAAGTTGATGGGTAAGTTCCGGTGAAGAAAAGCTTCAAACTTTCAGTTAAGATAGTTGAAATTGGAGGAAGTGTTTGGTGTTGCTTCAGTGTGGGTAAATTTTGATTTTGTTTGCTCTGTTTTCTATTTCAGAGTAATGATTGATACATGGCCAAGTAATCGCCAGGCGATCAATGCAGGTGCGGCTTAAATCACCCATTCTTTTAGTGGAAATTTCAAAAACCATGAGATTATGGTCTGTGATGATTTCTCCTTTCTGATGTTGTTGTTGCTCTTACTGTGAATTCCAGCTTTTCAAAAGCTTGGGCTTGATTGTGCAAATTGGCCTGAACCAGTTTATTCAGACCTGTTGAGGTATCTCACCCAAGTTTGTAACAATCAGTGACTTATGTTTTCCGGTTGGCATTTGGTTTCTTGATATTTACTTTGAAATGCTTAAGAATTGATCCTTTTGTTGCAATTGGTTATATCTATTTGTGACCTTGGAGAATCAAGTTGTATTTCCAGTCATATCCGTTTCCATATCTTTAGATTCTGATTTTAGTGATTGAAATTTTCCGATTCTTATACAAGTCTATTAGATGCTTAGCTGATAATATTGTTCCACTCAAAAAATGATTGCTTCTCTTTTTGTCTTACACTCCTCAACAACGGCTATTTCTCTCTTCCATTACCCTCCAAATGAATAGAAGATTAGATTGTTTGAAAGTGTTTAGTTGGTTATTTCCAGGAAAGGTGCTGGTGATGAAGAAAAAATGTTGCTTTTGTATTTTAACCAGGTAAGTTATCAAATTTTTGCTTAAGCATCATCCGCAATATACGGTTATCGAAATCTGACGCTTCTTTGTTCTCACTTGTTCTTTACAGATTGGTTGGCCTTCCTCGTTGCCAACCAGTGAGAAAGGGACTTTTGTGAAAAGTGTATTGCGAGAAAAGGTACATGCCTACTTGAACATGATGTTATTTTCAGCTAAATATATTCTCTTTGAAGTTTAAGGTTCGGTAACTCCATCAATCGCTTAGTTCCAACTTGTTTGTTGGCAGAAAAATGCAATGGATGAGTTTCTCATGTCCAAAAGCTTACCTCTGAGATCTGGAGTCCAAGAGTGAGTCTCTTAGATATGCCTGATGATATCTCTTACAAACTGAAACAAAGAACTTGTAAATTCAATTTGTTTAACCTTTTTGAGCTGTAGGTTTATCGATAATGCACACACGGAGAAAGTACCTGTTGCTATCGTAACAGCCTACTGCAAGAATGGAGATAAAGCAGCCTTGTAAGTAGAAAAGCTTCCAAATACATTTCTTTCTGCAATTCAGTAAAGTTACTTTTCCTATGCATATCCTTTCTTTACTTCTGGCTGCTCAAAGATACACAAATTTCAGTTGTCCTGGAGATTGCTGAGATTCACATACATATGACTTTGATATAAGAGCCTCTTTGATATAACCCATGACATTCTTAAAAGGTTTAGTTTGTTGGAAACAACAGTAGCCCTAGGAAGTTGCTTCAGAACCTTGATATAGTGCGTGGCTTTAATGCAATGCTGTTTCCTTTTAGTGATTGTACTCATGAGGAAACTCTGGAAAGCAATCCATTAGCATAAAAAGAATCCTATATAGATGTTTCCATGTTCTTCTCAACAAGCTTGATTGTTCTTTCTTCTTTATTCGGGTATTTAACAGATCCATTGTTGAGATGCTTGGCCAAGAAAGACTTCCAAATGTGAAGGTTATCGGAGACAAAGAAGTAGAAGAGAGTATGTATGGACAACTTGTTCTTGGCAAAGGAGTTTCTTCAAGTCTAGAGGAGCAACTAGTAAAGGAAGTCAAAAAAGCAGGTGGATAATTTGCAAACCTTTTTATTTTTAATCAAAGATCTTCCCTTGCAATCTGCAGTAAATATCTCATCCTCTTAACATTTCTTCTGGCTAGCCTCCGCTGAGAAACAGAGGATAGCAGAAGAAGTTGCATCGATGCTAAAGCTAAGTGTTGACATTGACACAAGCTCATCTGAGAGGTGGAACTTAATGTTCTTCTCTACAAGCTAATCCAATTTCCATACTTTAACAAGGATAATGATATCTTCTTGTTTTCTTTTCCTTCTTCTCTAGGTTGGAGAAGATTGTTGTGGCTTTGCGTGCTGCTGCGGAATACGCTGGATTACCTGTAAAAAACTGTGTACTTGTTGCTGGTAGTCAATCTGGAGTTTCTGCTGCAAAGATGATAGGCATGCCCTGTGTAGTCATGCGAAGCAGGTATGGTGTTCGGTTTCTGTTATCCCTCTTTTCGATTTTGGTTGCTTATTCTACACAGCTAAACCCTGAAAGTTGGTTCTCTGTACTCTGTAGCATTGTTCATTTGCTCATTCTCTTTACCATATTTTGTAGTTTAACTGCAAGAGGTGAATTTCCATCGGCGAAAGGTGTAATGGATGGGTTTGGAGGAGCAGACTTGACAATCCCAAAACTTAGGAACAAGATTAAGTCTTGATTTAACAACGTAAGAAAGCTGTCTCAGATCAGAATCTGGAAATATCGTCGACCATTTGCTTACTTCTCCAAGTTTTACCAAACTTGTATCTACATGCTGTAACATATTGATTCTTTGTAATGTACTGTACTGTTTTGGTTAGTTTTTTCACTTTCAGACGTCAACAAGCTTCTTCCTCTGCACTTTTTTCCTCGGTTAGCCTCAAGGAAATGTAATTTGGTTATTTGGAAAGCTTATCCAATATTCAAATAAGAGCAACTTATTTCTTCAAAGGTTTTATTCAGAATGATATTAATATGAAATCGGTTTCAAGTCAAGACACTAACTTATATACTAAAGCACGATATTTGTGAAGAACATTGTTACAACCCGATATGGCTTATTTGTTCTAATGGTTAATCTTGCACTTCTAATTGGCTTACATTTCAGAGATCTCTGTTTCTTGAACGTTTTTGGTGTTTCGTCTCTGAACCGGTGCAGGGCTCGAGTATTCTGCATCATCATCACCCAATGATGATATGCTTGATGAGACAGATTCTGCTATTGTGTTTGATGGAGATTGGTGTCTGTAGATTTGGGAAGTTGAGTATTCTGGTGCTTCTTAAGTTTTTTTTTTTCCTTGCGCTTCTTCCGCTAGTTTTCTTTAGAAGATTCATAACAGTGGGAAGAAACTTTGACGTGATGGAAAGTACTAATTTGAAATTCAGCCCTTTTGACCCGACTATTCTAATTTGATCCTAAAACACTATAAATACATCATTTTAGCCTCGTTAGAAGGAGAACCTCATTAGGGAGCCTCCATTATTTTCTTATCCATTTCATTGTTTTCGTTTAGTGCTCAAAAAGAGAAGATCTCACTTATGTATCTTGATATAGAAAAGTTTTTTAAAACCTTTTTCTTTTAAACTATGCATTCTTCTTCTTCTTTTTGTATCTTTGTTTCTATCATGCACGATAGTTAGCTTGTTAGTTTTTAGGTTTTCAAAGAGTTTATATTTTAATTATGATTTGATGAATTATTAGGAATATCATTATAATCTTTGTCTCGGTAGATTATATCATAGGTAGATTTGAACCACGACAGTGCTAATCATTAGCTTGACCTAATCTTTGATAGTTGATCTACTAGGTTTAGTGAACTTTATGATAACTTGATCCAACTAGTGCTTGATTTAACAATTTAAGAACATGAGAAAAGTTTAACCATTAATGGGTTTGTTGTCATATGAGTTGGAGCCACAACACGAAAGACTTTACCATCTTGTTTTGTGTTCTAGACAGTTTATAATCACACCAAATAAGATAAGGTCTCCCGTATACACGGTATTTATTTTAAGACTTTTTCAAATTACAAAGAAAAAACAAATATTACATAAAAAAAGTAAAATAATATTGAGAACCCGATAAGGATTCTCGGAAACTTAAATTGTATAAATAGGAGTCATTGTTCATTCTTTTATTTTAAGGCATACTCCCCACACCATCTTTGGATCTGTGTGTTTTACCGCATAAACTTCAACTCCTCTCAATTGTTTTTACTAATCTTTGTTGTGTAGATTTTAGTACGACCAACCTTCAGGTATATCAATACCAAGGGCCATCAACGTAATACTCACAATCCAAGCCGGTGGAAGCCAGCTGTGCTTCCGCTTGTGAGCTTTCTGTAGAGTAGAAATAAATATATATACATACCATTGATTAAATTATCAATTATGTATATATATAACACACAGAAAATCTGAGTTAGACATGCAAAATCACCTGTGCCGAGATAGCTTGGATTATGGTATACTCAATGTCAGATTTAAACTGTTCCCACAGAGACTTACACTGTACTGGCGTCAGTAGCACGTCTTTTGGAGGAACCTGCATCCACAAAACAAACATTTGGTATTTCTATTTGACTACAACACGTATTACCATCCCATGTGCCACAATGCTATATATTTGGACTAATTTGATTAATTTTGTATTCCATTTAGTGTGATGCCTTAATAATAGTCACATTTATCAACCACATTAGTCTGTATCAGTCTGTTTACCTCTTCCCAAGACTTAGATGCAAGTGGATCCGTAGAAGTTTCCAAGCTATACATGAGAGAAGAGAAAAGAATACTCTCAATTTGATCCGGTCTTTCATCCAAACGTATTGCCGCCATCACAGACAGAAGACTTAAAGCCTGCAGGATATCATTAGATGGAGAGAGAGTTTCATGACATCAACTTAGCCTCATTAACTATTAATTCTATAAAGTTACCTCTGAGCGAGCATCTTTTGTGACTGCTGTAATATCCTCTTTTCCAGTCCAGACCCGTGGCATTGAGTCTTTGTCATGACTGAAGACTGTTGAGAACCTGACATGTGTTTGGAATAATATCAAGCAGAGAAAAAAAAAGAGGCTATTAAAAGGAGCCTAGTCTGATCTTTTTCTTACCTATCTTTCATTCGGATCAGAATTTTGGCAGCTTCTTCTCTCGCCTTTTTCTCCACTAAACTCTGAGAATAGTCCTTTAGATTCTGAACCATAGCATCAATTGTAGTGTGATCTAGCTCAAAACCAGTGACATCATCCAGAAAATTTGTAACAGCTGTTTCTGTCTCCCGTTTGAGAAGTGTCCTAATGGAAGGCCACGTCTCTTTTCCACCGGCTTCGAACAAAGACTCGACAGGTTCGCTCAGTGCTTTACTTAGCCGTTTCTGTAAAACACCATGAAGCAAAGAAAATAATTATACGAGCCCTTAACAGCTAAGAAGTCAGAAGAAGAGAAAACCAAAACAGAACCTCGCAGTTGGCAGTTAATTCAGATAGTTTAGCAGTCTGAGCAGAAGATGCATGAGAATCAATGTCACGACAAAGTTTCTCTCTGATTTTTGATGCATCCCAAGTCGCTTGTTTAACCGCAACATCTAAAGGCATGGACACAATTTATAAACGGCGGTAGTCTCGTGTTAAAGTTATTGTAATATTTGGCCGAAACAATTTGTTTCTCAGAAGGAGACAAGGAGTCTCTACTATTGTCGTAGGAAGACTCACCTTTACATCCTTTGTCAAACACAAGCAGACAAGATTGTCGGGAGTCCCGCACAGCATTTGCAAACCCTTCTCCTTGATTTAGAGACTGTTCCAGTCGGATCTTAAAGGATTCCAAAGCATTGGATCGTAGATGTCCCAACATGCTAGCATAAGCAGGATGCACAAACTGGAAATTCCGAGACATAGTTGAAAATAAGTAACAGATTTTGAGTCAACACTATTAATGCAAACCCAAATGCTTTTCTTACATCCAAAGCTTTAGATTTCAGCTGAAGACGCTTTTCTTTTCTTACTCCTTCATCAAAGTATACTGCCTCCGAGTCGTATCTAAGAACGGGTAAGCAAAACAAGATTAGGGAAAATTTCTTTGCTTGAGAAGTAAACACTTGTGGAACCAAAAAAGAGGAGCTTACTCTGAGAAGTATTTTTCAAGGATAGAACTAAGCTTTCTGCCAAAACTAGGAACAAGACCACCTTCTACAGCTTTTTGCAACTCCAACCAACTCTAAAAAAAGTTTACCCCATAATGTCTCACAAAATATCTAAATCAGCAAGAAACAATTATAGTAGGTAAGGAGACCACAGAAGCACACCTCATCGGTTGCCAAGTGTTGTAGCTTCTCATCGGCTATCTCTTCACACCGAACAGTAGCAACCATTACCTTGCAAACGTGAAAGAAAACAACAGTAAGTCACAAGATCAGGAAACATAGTTCAACAACATAGATTTTAGTGAAGAGAAGACCTTGTGAGCAGGAAGGTCCAAGTCTCTATTCTCTTTTATAACTTTCCAAATCTCCTGGGAGCTGAAAGAAAACCCTGAAGCAGGAACTACACCACGTCTATCACCAGCAAGTCCCCCAGGTGAAATGGAATGGAAAAACCTCTGCCTCAATGCGGCAACCTATTTAATTAGAAGCTCGCATGAATCAAGGGAATCAGTCTTAGGTTTCCTTTGATGCTTCAAAAAATACTTGTTTTACATTTACATATCAGAAGATACCTCTTTCTTAAACACTTCTTCTTTCTCTTCATAGCTGGATAAGGCAACGACCTCCACCTACAAGCATATATGAACCAATTATCATATAAGGAAAAGACAGGCAGAGTCATGAAAAAATTCATCATTAATCAGAAGCATCATAAGAAGCATCGTCAGTGCGGTAGGAGTATCTCCTTACATTGAAGAATTCACTTAGAGGTGTATTCTTATGTGCTTCAGGCTTGCGAACTAAATCCCATATCTGCAATAAACCATAATAAGTACCCAAATAAAAGACGAGAAAACAGTAAATAAAAAGAAACTGAAAGAGAGAGAGAGAGAGTGTGTGTGTGTTACCTTCTGAATATCTTCTCTTAGAACAGGTTCAAGCAGCTCTATTGGAGTCTAAGGACAAAAGCATATGTCAATCTAAGAAATATGACTTCACCATCAAGAATCACATTCAATTGCAAAATCCAAACCTTTGTTTTATCACGTATGACAAAAAGAAGAGTTGTTTTCCGAGGGCTAAACAATCGCATCATGACCTACAAAAGCAACAATGACCAATTTATCAAACCTATAGATTGAAGATAAGGTTCCATATGTAAGCACATCATGATACAGTACCTGGAAAACTGTCTTCAGTAATGGTTTGTTGGCAGCCTGTTCCCTTCCGATGTCATGGCACCACCTATGGAGTTCATTAATCCATTAACAATCTAGCAGAAAATGGTATCTACGTATGTCTAAAAATACATCACAATTGTATTCGTAGATCTTTGCTAAGTTCACTCAAATCCAACTTTAACACAGTACTTAATTTTTGGAAAAAATTATCAAATATAAAAGTATCGAGGGGTGGTAAATCTGAAATTACATCTTTGTTCTAATATGGCCGTCAACTTTCTGCTTCCATGTAACAAATACATCAGTAATAGTTTCAGAAGAAGAGCCAACAAAATACAGAGACTCACATGTTTATCAGTACAATATCTGCAACCGCCAGTGCGAACAGGGCACTTTGTTTCTCAAATGTAGTGTCATCCTGAAAAGTGTGGCAACCGTTGACAACAATCATAGGAAGAAACACATAAGAATTTTTATTTTTAAAAGTAAGTATAAGAACATCCACAGTGGTACATGGTACATGGTACATGGTACAGTAGAAACTCTACAAACTAATACTCGATAAATTAAAAAAAAATTCCGGTCCCAAGTTGGGCCGGTATAAAATATGACACAATTCGATAAGATAATAACATTTTTTAAAAATTCTTATGTAAAATATGGTCCCAATAATATTATAAGTTAATAATTATTATATTAAAACTTATATATATATCTATATATCTAAGATATTTACCTACTAAAATATGAATTTCTCAGACACAAACAGATATGAAAATTTATTTTTAAAAAGCAATTGAAAACTATATGGCAAGCATGAAAATGTAAATAATAAAGTAAATATAGAAACTTAAGAAACAAAGTTAAGAAAATATACGTCGAAAGGAAAATTCTTATTAAATTTGAATGAAAATTTTAAAAATTATTAAAATTGAATTTTCTTTTTTGAAATATATTTTTTAGTCAAAATCTATATATTAATAACTATATAAATTAATAAAATATCAAAGTCCCGACATTATTAATTTATAGAGTTTCTACTGTATATCTCATTGCAAATTATATATAAAAAATAGAATTGGATTTCTCTCCAATGGTTCGTTACATTTTTTTCTTTTTTCTTTTTTTTAATTGCTAAAATTACATGTTTTATTCCAATTCTACAAACTGAATCATCTATTTATTTTCTTGCTAAAACATTCACAATTATGATATTTTTTTTTTATCATTATAATATTAAGAAAAATACATCACACTACACAAAAATTATAGAAAATATAAAGTATTAAGTCATTGATCTTTGTTGTACTAGATATGTTTTATGTTTTTTTTTTAATTTCTGTATTTATAAAAAAATATTTTTAAGTTTATTATGGTTATGTTATTATATTTTCTATTAAATAAATGTTATTTATATGTTTAAATATATTTAAATAAACATAATCAAAATAATTAAACTGTTAAATTGAAACAATTTAAAAATTGAAGGACTACTTTGTAAATAAAAATTTCAATTACAAAATAGCATATTGCATAATCTCATGTCAAATTTAGTAGTAAAGTAACATGAAGCAAAAATAGCATGATGCTATTTTTTGCAAAAGAAATTTTAAGAAATACACCTCTTGATGTGTAAATTTTCAAAACTACACCTCTAGTGTGATAATTTTCAAAAATACACTTTTTCTAATTTTAATATATATGTTTGGGTTCACTAATCCTTAATTAGGGTTTAGATTTTGGGGTTTATGGTTTAGAGTTTATATTTTAGGGTTTAGAATTCTTTTACTCAATGAAAAAAGTATAGTTTTGAAAATAGACACCATAAAAATTTATTTTTGAAAATTGGCACCTAAAAAGATGTAGTTATAAAATTTCCCGATTTTGCAATAGAAAATGCAACAATGCTAGAGCAAATTCTATTACAAAACAGCATAAAGTAGCAAATTTATTATAGGGTTGGAGATGCTCTAAGCCTAAGTATCTGCAAGAACTAATCTCCATATATTTTTGAAATTTCTGAAAACATTACAGTAGAAACTCTATAAATTAATAATATTGGGACTTTAATATTTTATTAATTTATAGAGTTGTTAATTTATGGTGTTGACTAAAATATTTTATTTAAGAAATAATTAAAAATATATATGTTCTAAGATTAGAGATAAGTTATAAAAGTATTTAAATTTAAATAAAAAACAAAATCTGTTATACTTATATTTTAGTATATTATCATAGGTTATATATTTTTGTATAAATTTTTTTTATGAGAGTTATTAATTTATGATATTAATGGGACTATATATTTAGATAGATTTCTTAAACAAAATTATTACTTATTATCTTATCAAAATTATTACTTATTATCTTATCAAAATTATTACTTATTATCTTAGAATAGTAGAAATTTATTATGTTATCAAATTTATTAATTTATCTGTATATGGAATATTAATTTATAGAGTTTCTAATGTACTAGCAAGTTAGCCAAAACCATATTCTGTGAATGTGTTGCGTCTTGCGAATCGTTATCCATCTTACCTCGCCTCTTTCTATACCATCAGTACCCTCTAAATCCATGGCAAATGTAAAAGGCTTAATTCCAACACACCTAGCCATCCAAATACCTTTGGTTGTTTGACTCCTACAAGGGACGACAAATTACCAAGTCAAACACATTTCAACACTAAAAAAAAGGGCATTGCCACAAAAAGATATAAAACAAAAGTTAACTATTGACAATCGCTGACCTTCCCTCAAAAGCATCCATTTCCCTAAAGCTGGTATTAAAAAGATGATTCATAAGTGTACTCTTCCCTGTTTCTCACCCAAAAAAAAGAAACAAGAAAAAACACATACCACAATAAGCAAATCAAAGTGTTAGGTTTTGCAAAATATCTCAACTTCAAAGTCGAAATTGGTATCTTGAATTCTTGATTAGAGTTAGCTAAGAGCCACAAACTCAAAAAGAAGAACAAAAAATAAACTCAATGATAATCTCATACCACTACTCTGAGGACCCATGATTGCAACAACAGCATAAGAAAGTCCACAATTAGAGAGCTTCGTCTTCTTCACGAAATTCTCCAAACCCTCCACGTTAAATTCACCATCTCCATTGATTAGCTGAGTCGAACAACAATTCTCGCTTTTCCCCATGTCTATTTTACGGAATGCCTTTACCGGCAGAGAAGAGACGGATCTACAAATCAACAAACGTCACAAAAATATTCAAAATTCGAAAAGAAATTCATCTCCTCAGATGATGTTGCAACTTGCAAGCATGCATGCATCGATCAGCAAACTAGAAACTGAAAGAGTAAAACTAGATAGATATAAATGCCAGTCTAGAATCTACTGAGGATTGAAGATAGGGGAATAACAGGTCTAGAGATGATTAAAAAGAAAGAGAATCAACTCGAAGTAACCTGAATTCGTAGGTGATGATTGATAGATGACGATTTAGAGATTAGGAAGAAGAAAGAGTTTAGAGAAAAAGTTATTCTTGGTTGATGATCAGAAATGGCAGAAGCCAATACATATAGACTTTCTAGGAAGAAAATTCAATGAGGTAAAGAAAAATCAAAGCATTCAGACAAAATTTATGGTCAACTACGAGTCTACGAGTAACAAAGCTACATATATACAAGATTCTACATCTGATTGCTCAGCTACAAGATTCTACGAGTGACGGATTTACATTTTAAAATTCGATGTCATTTTAAAATGTAAATCCGTCAAATTATAGATCTTTTCAATATGGAAAATTAAACAAAATAACTATCACTATAACACTATTACTTTAAAGAAAATGTTGTACATTGATATGGATTTTTATTTCAGTTTAGTTCAGTTTTATTTTTTCAGTTCATTTTATTTTCACTGGATGAAAATCAGTAAGACCCGAGTCACCCGACGATATTATATGATGTCCTTCTCTTTCCTCCCGCCAACGACGTAACTACCAAAGTAATTTAGAACTGATGGTTGACTATATCTATGACAGAGTCAATAGGTCAAGTGATTTTCATAGAAAAAAAAGGCCTACAGAATAAATAAAAAAAAACATATTATAGAAAAAGGGACATATTTTTTTTAAAGGATGATTTTAGTGTATATAAATGAATAATGGTAAAATTAGAAAAGATGAGCAAATAGTTAGAATTTATGTGATAAATTAATTTTTACCCGAAATTTAACATTTTTCTTACAAACAATTACATAAAATGCCATTTGCATATAAACTTGTTATATGATGGAACAAACATGTATACACTCTTTATTAACTAGATATATACTATAATATTAACGATAACAAACATGTTAACACTACATAAAAAAAAAGACATTAACCTTGACAATAACATAAAAGATAACATTGTGGATAACATTGATGATAACATTGACAATAATATTGATGATTACATTAACGATAACTGAAAATTTTAACGTCAACCTAGTTATCATATCATCAAATTGTCGTGTTAGTTAATGTTGTTATCGTGAAAATCTATTTGCTAATCTTGTTATCATTCCATCAAAAGTAAAAGTTATTGATACACTAACATTGATAATAACTTAGTTAATGAACACCAGTATCACTGTTACTAACATTATTGTTATTACTATCATCAGTACTTGATGTACTCAACATTTGCATACATTTAGCATCATAATTTGCATGGTTTTGTATGTCTTTGAGTCTCATTTCATACCATTTAGTGTAAGGTTTCATCTCCTTAGGAACATTTAGCTTTTAAATTAGCATTTTGCATTTTCCATTGCATTTGGAGTGTTTTCCTAGGTGTTTGAGGCGTTTAGCAAGATGGAGGCAAGTTGGGGTAGTGACTGGAGCAAGACAGAGAAGCTAGAAGCTGATCAGAGCTCAGAAGTGTTCAAGAATTCGCAGACCAGAGGACTTGAGCAAGAAGAACAAAGCACTTGAGAAGTTTGCTCAAGACCGTCATAAAGGACAAAGTCAACAGGGACGGAGTTGACCAAGGGTTCACTTATCTTTTACTATAAATAGCTGAAGACCTAATTTTATTAGGCATCTTGGATCTTTTCCTTGATCAAAAACCTCTCTCTTTGCCTCCTTTCTTTTATTTTCGTTTTTGTAAGATCTTGGCTTGATTTTAATGATTTTGAAAGTATTCTTCTTTGAATCTTTCTCATTTATCTTAGTTTATCATAATCATCATCTTGTTTCTCTTAATTTCGAATTTCTCATGTCTTTTGAGTAGTTCTCTTTAGGCTCATGGGATGAGTTAGATTTAGGGAGATTTGATGGTCAACCTTGATGTTTAGGACTTGATTTGCTTAATCCTTCTTTATTTGGTGGTCTTAATGCTAGATCTTCTCTGATCAAGTTGATTCTAGATCTTAGGCATTTCATGCACCAGAAGTGTTTGATGAAATGCTTGAACCAACCATCTAAAGGATTTACATTCCTAGCTCATGAGAGTGATTGTCTAGGGTGTTTATTGGCTTTCTAGAACTGAATCTTTATGCTTGCTTTTATCAATTTCACTAATGAGAATTAGTTCTTGAGATTGGTAATTAGCAAAGTGATTAGTGCCATGAGAGTGGATTAGTCTTGTTAATGAGTTCTTTGCCTAAGGATTAGCAATCATTAAACTGTTTGAGCATCATAAACTGACTTGAGAATCTCCCAAGGTCAATGACCCTCATCCCAAGTGCCTCCATTTGCATTTCTTTCATCTCTTGCATTTTTATCTTATGTTTTATGTTCATTTAGGTTGTTAAAACAAAACCATTTCGAATTTGCTTAGCTCACTTATGTTTCATGCATTCTTGATGTCTTTATCTTGACCTTACTGGATTTGACAAAGAACCCCAAGCTATACTTCAATTGATTAAAAAGGGGGTTCATTTGTAAAGAGTATACAAAAATCTCTCTTTCAGTACTAATGAGAGAGAATTGTATTCAATTATTTGTAGGGCAATTTTGCCTTTTTGATATCATTTGTTCACTCATTAAGGTGTCAATTTGTGGAAGCCCCTTAGCCTAGTGGTTGAATGGATTTAATGCTTCTACACTAGAAGGTCTGGGTTTTGAGTCCTGATGAATGCGATTTGCTAATAATTTATGCAGATTAATAGAGACAAGCTTACAGGAGGTCTACAGAATGATGCACGTGGAGCCGTCGGTCGGGGAGCCTTTGAAGACGGTAGAATCGGTCCGTTGTAGAATTGTCTTGTAACATTTCTCATATTTGTGTATTAGATTAGTCAGTCAGTGTTAAACAAAAAAGTGTCAATTCCTATTTTTTTAATTCTTGTTTTATCTGAGAGTATTTATTATAATTTCCCCAAAAAGAATTGATTTTGCCATAGACTTATAAAATCTTTGAGCATGCCTTGCATGTATCTTGAAAAGTCTTATTGCTTATAGAGTTGACTTCCAAGTACACAATTGGATCATTCACATTAAACGTATTCCTTTATTAATTATTTACGAAATGCTGTGCAAATGAATTACACTACTGTATTATGTTAATTATCTTTTTTGTAAGATTTGTTTTTATCTACGAATAATTTTGTTAAGTATTAAATAATCTAAATCCCACATGAACATAACCATTATTTGTAAAACGAATACAATTACTATTTTTTTTTTTGATAATTCAGGGTAAATCCCAGGCCAATGGAGAGTCCAGACTAATTCCTGGGAGAGGTGCAGCCCACGGATAAACCCTCTCTCCGGGTATTCAAATGGGCCGAAAGCAAGAGCCCATATCTATGTGGCCAAATGGGATAATTCTAGCAATTTCGCATTTGAGGGGAGTCGATCCCTCGCCTTGACAATCCACATTTCTAGTTTTATAAAGTTATGGGTCTAAATGCTAATCGTTGAACAAGAAATTTGGTGGAGTTAAAAGAAATTTTTTTGCGAAATTAATCGCACCTCGTATTATATATACAGGTGAATAAGCGGGACGAGGTCACAACACAAAAGATAATTATAACTCATATGATTGTGATATGTTTCATTTTTATTCTATTTCTATTAAAATTTTGACATGTGTTATTGAAAAGAAAATGAAAAAATAAAACTATTTAAAAGGAAAAAAATAAAAACCTAACTAAAAGATGTTAAAAGAAAGGAAAAAGATAAAAATTAGTAAGATCTTTTTTTGTCTAATACGTCAACTTGATACTAGGATTATTATAATTCATTCGATCATTACTTGTGTCCATATACTGATTGATGGATGACATGTGTCAGTACATAAACTTACTCAAAAGGTAAGATTAAAATAAAACTAACAAAATTACAGTCAACCAACTCATCAAGTACGGTAGAAACTCTATAAATTAATACTCGATAAATTAATAACTCGATAAATCAATAGAAGTTTCTGGTCTCAAACTAAATTAATAATTCGCTAAATTAATAAAATATCATGGTCCCGACATTATTAATTTATAGAGTTTTTATTTAGTATGAAAGAAAATTTCTAATTTTCAATATATAGACCAAATTGTTTTTTTCCCATAATCTATTATTTTAACGGGTTATAATGATAAAAACTAACAAAAAGCTAACAAGGAAATGATCAAGTAATAATTCAAATATTCAATTTCTGAGAGTTCAAATACTTTTTGAAACAACCAACATTTTTTTTTTTAATAAATATTAATCAATTCTAGCGAAGGTCTTAAAATAAATTAAATAAATAAAATATCAATAACAAATAAATCAGCTCAGCGGAAGCAAATAATAATTAAACAAGTCTAGCAAAATAATGCAAAACAATAAAACAGTAAACATCCTATCATCCCCCTCTTCAGCCTTGATTCCGCGATCACACAAATCTTTTACCTGCAACACATTGGAATGGAGTTGCGTAAGTATTTAATAAATACTTAGTGAGGCAATCACTCTGCCTACGAGCCATTTACGCAATTTACTAGATATTTAATAATATTTATAAACTCCAATAATTATTAAATACCATTTTCCAATTATTAAATAATTTTTAATAATTAAAACTCAATTTCTCAATTATTAAATAATTCTCATAATTAAATAATAATTTTCCATATTTTAAAATAATTAAAATAATTAATTAATTAAATTAATTAAATTATTAAATTAAAATTAAATTAATTAAACCAATATAAACCAATTAAATTCAATTGAATTCCATTAAACCAATTAAATTCAATTAAACCAATATAAAAATTAAATTCAATTGAACCAAGATAAACCAGAATCAAATCAATTAAATTCAATTAAACCAGATTAAACCACACAAACACACAATTCATCACATAAACAACCAAAATATCATAAATAACAATTAAACACATAAACTCATCAAGAACAACCACAAACCAAATCTAATCTAGCAAATCGCGGACCCACAGTCATGCACTCACCTTGACAATGATTGAAACTGAAGGAAAGAAATGAACAGTGCGGAAATCCCGACGATGAACAGTAACCCCATGAACAGTACCCGATGAACAGTAAAACTCGAAAATCTCTCCAAAAACTCACTTTTCTCCTCTACAGCATCTGAACTCGAAAATTCTCCAAAGAGAAGACGGCTGCACTCTTTAAACTTGATTTTAGGGCTTTCTCCACTAAACCGACCCAAACCAATTCACTTAAATTGAACCGACAAAATTCCCAATTTTTGGTTTATGGATGTTACAACTCTCCCCCACTAAACTGGATTCGACCTCGAATCCCAACAAACGTCACAAAGACCACAAAACCCGACCTCGCAAGGCCGCAACACGGAGATCCTCACCTGATCCCCGAGACAAACGTCATAATCTTATGTCATAAGCACGTTCCAAGAATTTTACTCCTAACTCATCATCAAACACACTTGTACTGAGGCCCACTTGCACCCAGACAAGTCCACACCGGTCCGCACTGAGGCCCACTTGCACCCAGACGAACCCGCGTCCATACTGAGGCCACTTGCACCCAGATGAACTAAACTGCTTATACTGAGGCCTACTTGCACCCAGCTAAGCTACACTCAACTGAGGCCTACTTGCACCCAGAGAGTCTGCCAGAGAACGAAGTCTCCAAAAACATGATGAGTTATTCAGGATCGCAATCCTTAGAGTAAAAATTCCAAAATGTCTATAACCATAAGATTAGACCGTCTCACAACCAAAAACTGGTCAAACATGTGTAACATCCGAATACCATTACAACACAAGGCAAAATGAGGAAAAACTGCATCTCATTAAAACTCCAAAATGTATATCGTTACAACGAAAACGAAAATACAATAACACCAAAGCCAAAAATAACAACTGAGGCTACAAAGATGAAATAAGCTCACTCCTCGACCTGCTTGTCGAACCACTTCCTGAACTTCAACTTCATCTTTGCCTCTGGCTCCCAAGTCTCCTCTGTAGAACCACTGCAATCCCACAAAATCCTCAGTAAGGGAATCCTCTTGTTCCTCAGAACCTTTTCCCTCCTCTCTAAAATCCTCACAGGCACTGCCGGCACTGTCAAATCTGGCTGAAGATCCTCTGGAATCCTAGCCACTAACTCCTCTGTAGGGTGAAGACACTTCCTCAGCATCGACACATGAAAAACCTTGTGAAAGGCTTTCATAATCTCAGGCAACTCCAGCCTGTAAGCCAATGGCCCAACTCGCTCCACTACTGGAAACGGACCCATAAAACGCGGACTCAGCTTGTTCTCTGCTATGGATCTGTTAGGACCCCTCAACATAGCCATCTTGAGATAAACTCTATCTCCACCTGAAACTCAAGCTCTCGTCTGCGTCTATCTGCATAACTCTTCTGCCTATCCTGAGCCTCCTTCATGTTCAGCCTCACAACACGAACCTTCTCTGTCGTCTCCTGAACATAAGTAGCTCCATACATGCTGCGCTCCCCCACTTGGGTCCAGCATAGGGGTGTCCTACATGGCCTCCCATACAAAGCCTCAAATGGAGCCATGCCAATACTCGCCTGAAAGCTGTTGTTGTATGCAAACTCAACTAAGCTCAGGTGATCTGCCCAATGGCCACCCCAATCCAACACACACATCCTCAGCAAATCCTCCAAAGTCTGAATAGTCCTCTCTGACTGACCATCTGTCTGCGGATGATAAGCTGTACTCAGATGCACCTTAGTGCCCATCTCTGCCTGAAACGCCCTCCAAAACTCTGAAGTGAATCTGGGATCACGGTCTGACACAATACTAGCTGGCACTCCATGCAGCCTCACAATCTCTCGCACAAACTTCCTAGCCAAGACAGCAGCTCCATCTGTCTTCTTGATGGCCAAGAAATGTGCGGACTTAGTCAACCGATCCACAATCACCCAGATAGCATCGAAAGTCCTCGAAACAGGTAGTCCAACCACGAAATCCATCGTAATCCTGTCCCACTTCCACTCTGGAATGGGTAAACTCTGCAAAAGACCACCCGGAACCTGATGCTCTGCCTTCACCAAGGCACAAGTGTTGCACTTCGCAACCCAGTCTGCTACATCCCTCTTCATCCCGACCCAATGATAGTACCTCTTGAGGTCATGGTACATCTTGGTCGCTCCTGGATGAATGGAAAACTTGCTCGCATGAGCCTCTCCCAAAATCTGATGTCTCAACTCCACATCCTTAGGCACACAAACTCGCCCACGAACCAAGATAGTCCCATTCGCAGAGACCTCATACTCAGAACCAGTCACTCTAGTCGCATCCAGCAAACTCTGATCACTCTGCTGAGCAACTCTGATCCTGCTAAGTAGATCCGCCTGATCCACTGCCTCTAAACCCAAAGGCTCCTGCGAAATGGCACACAAACGCAAGGTACTGATCTCGCCAACTAGAGACTCCACATCTCGCTCAACTGCGGAATCATACCTCCGTCTACTCAACGCGTCCGCCACTAGGTTAGCCTTGCCCGGATGGTAGTTAATGCTCACCTGATAGTCCGCCAAGAACTCAACCCAGCGCGTCTGTCTCGCGTTCATCATCGGCTGAGTGAAGATATGCTGCAAACTCTTGTGATCCGTGAAGACCTGTACTGTCTCACCTAGCAAGTAAGACCTCCAAATCTTCAACGCGAAGATCACTGCTCCCAACTCTAAGTCATGTGTAGGACGGTTACGCTCACTGCCCTGCCACTGTCTCGAAGCATATGCTATCACTCTGCCCTCCTGCATCAGCACACAACCAAGACCAATGCCTGAAGCATCTGTATACACCATGTAAGGCTTCCCTGGCTCGGGTAACGCCAACACTGGTGTAGTAGTCAACATCTCCTTGAGCTGACTAAAGCTCTCCTCACACTCAGCTGACCAAATAAAAGGGACATCCTTCCCGGTCAACTTCGTCATCGGCTGCGCCATGGTAGCAAACCCCTTGACGAACCTCCTGTAGTATCCTGCCAAACCCAGAAAACTCCTGATCTCGGTGGCACTACTAGGTCTAGGCCAATCTCTGATAGCCTCAATCTTAGCCGGATCCACAGAAACTCCCTCTGCAGAAACAATGTGGCCAAGAAATCCCATCTCTCGCTGCCAGAAACTGCACTTGCTCAACTTAGCAAAAAGCTTCTGCTCCCGAAGCTTCTCCAGAACCAACCTCAAGTGAGTCGCATGCTCCTCCTGACTCCTCGAGTATACCAGAATATCGTCAATGAAAATGATGACAAACACGTCCAAATACTCCCTGAACACGTCGTTCATCAATCTCATGAAGGCTGCCGGCGCGTTAGTCAAACCGAAAGGCATAACCACAAACTCAAAATGCCCATAACGCGTCCTGAAAGCAGTCTTCCTGACATCTGCCTCATCTATCGGGATCTGATGATACCCCGATGCCAAGTCAATCTTGGAGAACCAAGTAGCACCCCTCAACTGATCCAACAACTCATCAATCCTCGGGAGTGGGTACCTGTTCTTCACAGTGACTCGGTTAAGACCTCTGTAATCGATACAAAGTCTGAAACTGCCATCCTTCTTCTTCACAAACAACACGGTGAAACACTTGGTCGAATGAACCCCTTAGACAAAAGGTCCTCTATCTGCTTCTTCAGCTCTGCCAACTCAGCTGGCGCCATCCTGTAAGGCGTCTTCGATATCGGTGCTGTCCCCGGCTCTAACTCAATCGTGAAAGGATCAGACCGAGATGGTGGTAATCCCTTCAGTGACTGAAAGACATCCTCAAAATCCTGGACAACCTCAATATCTCCCATAACAACTCCAGCTCCTGACTCAGACATAGAAATCGTCGCCAGATACGCCTCACAGCCCCGCTCTAACAACTGCTCGGCCTGAATAGCAGATATCACAATACTCCCGGAAGTCGGTCTCACTCCCTGATAAACCAACCTCCCTGCATCTCGCTCGAAGACCACTCTACCTCTGTAGCAATCCAGATGAACTCTGTAGTGTGACAACCAGTCCATCCCGAGAATAACGTCATACAGCTCCACCGGACTGATGACTAAGTCTGCTGGCATTGACTGCCCCGCAATCTCGATCTCGACTCCTCTAGCACGGCCCAAAGTAGACAAGAATCCACCTCCCGCCACCTTGACCATGCCCGCGCTCTCGCCCGCGCTACTCCGGATGCCACTCTTCTCGGCACGCTCCGGTGTAATGAAGCAATTCGATGCTCCAGAGTCGAATAAAACGTGGGACTCAAAACCGCCCACTAACAAGGTCATTACACACAATTGCGTTGAGAACCTCAACAATTTTATCACAGATAAATGAACAACACACAGCAAAACAACAACAATTATGCCCTCGATGGCCTGCCACCACAAATGTCATAGACTGGAAATTCCGCTCCAATCTCTGACGCCACTCATCTGCCGCCTCTGGGCTAACTCCGCCCTCAAAGTACGGCGTACCAATCCTCTGCATGTGCCCCACATATCCAAATAGGACGGCACCATCAAACCCACAGCCTGCAGGCTGAACAAATCCCGCAGCCCTCTGCTGCACCTCTGCCACTGGAGGTACTCCCGGAGCCCCTTGTGGAACCACTGGCGGAAAACGAGCCAATAACTGCGTCAGCAAACCCACCACTAAGTCATCAAGACCCTGAGCCGGAGCACCACCCCAACCCGGAGCAGCCCCCGCTCCCAAACCAACACTCGCATCCACACTGGCCTCACTCGCCACGGATACCGACTGGGTCACCGACGCAGTCGTCGGCACCACACTCTCTCCCGAATCCGCCGAAGTCCACAATCTCGGCCCCGACCTCCACGGCCTCTAGCTCTGCCACCACGGCCTCAGCACCGCGCCCTCTCGCGCCACAACCTCTAGCTACTCAGTCCATCTCACTCATGGAACCGAAAAGAGCACACTAGAACACGCAACCAAAACTCAAAACAAACATAAACTCACCGCGGAATCTCTTGTAGCTGAAGGGGATGATACTAAAGCCTAGCAATTCTAACAGTCCTAAAACCGTCTAGGCTCTGATACCAAAATGAAACAACCAACATTTTTTTTTTTTTAATAAATATTAATCAATTCTAGCGAAGGTCTTTAAATTAAATAAATAAAATATCAATAACAAATAAATCAGCTCAGCGGAAGCAAATAATAATTAAACAAGTCTAGCAAAATAATGCAAAACAATAAAACAGTAAACATCCTATCATCCCCCTCTTCAGCCTTGATTCCGCGATCACACAAATCTTTTACCTGCAACACATTGGAATGGAGTTGCGTAAGTATTTAATAAATACTTAGTGAGGCAATCACTCTGCCTACGAGCCATTTACGCAATTTACTAGATATTTAATAATATTTATAAACTCCAATAATTATTAAATACCATTTTCCAATTATTAAATAATTTTTAATAATTAAAACTCAATTTCTCAATTATTAAATAATTCTCATAATTAAATAATAATTTTCCATATTTTAAAATAATTAAAATAATTTAATTATAAATAATTAATTAATTAAATCCGAATTAAATCTATTTAATTATTAAACCAATTAAATTAATTAAACCAATATAAACCAATTAAATTCAATTGAATTAAGATAAACCAGAATCAAATCAATTAAATTCAATTAAACCAATATAAACCAATTAAATTCAATTGAACCAAGATAAACCAGAATCAAATCAATTAAATTCAATTAAACCAGATTAACCACACAAACACACAATTCACACATAAACAACCAAAATATCATGAAATAACAATTAAAACATAAACTCATCAAGAACAACCACAAACCAAATCTAATCTAGCAAATCGCGGACCCACAGTCATGCACTCACCTTGACAATGATTGAAACTGAAGGAAAGACAATGAACAGTGCGGAAATCCCGACGATGAACAGTACCCCGATGAACAGTAAAACTCGAAAATCTCTCCAAAAACTCACTTTTCTCCTCTACAGCATCTGAACTCGAAAATTCTCCAAAGAGAAGACGGCTGCACTCTTTAAACTTGATTTTAGGGCTTTCTCCACTAAACCGACCCAAACCAATTCACTTAAATTGAACCGACAAAATTCCCAATTTTTGGTTTATGGATGTTACACTTTTTTCCAATAATCTGTATACTTTGTAGGTTATAAAACATAAAATTTTCAATTGTGATTTCCAATTTGCTAACTAGATAAACTTATGGAAAGAAAAGCTATTAGTTTCAAATTTTCAATAGCATATACTTTGATGTAGAGAGAGAATTAGAAATATTCTAGTTATTTTTATTATTATTTTTATAATTTCCTATTATTATTTTAGGGTCTTTTAGGGTTTTGAGATTTATTATAAATAATCCGTTTAGGCCTCCTATTGTATGAAGTTGTTGATAATAAAAGTGTTTAGGCATGGAGAGAAGAGCATTCTCTATCCTTGAGATCTCAACAAGTTCAAGAAGCAAGTCCCAAGTGAGAATTCTATTGAATTCCTTGGTTGAGCTGGAAGGTCCGGATCGATTCCGTAGAATCATTGGTTGAGTTATGTTTATCTTAGCTTCCGCTACATCAGTTGGTATTAGAGCTAATACTTTAATTTCTCAATCAAGGTTCGATTATGTTTTGATTATCATGTAGTTTGGGAGTTTTTGTTCCAGAGATCTTTTCATTCCAAGCGAAATTTCTCTGAAGATTTTAGAGAAATTGTTGGAAATCTAGTTTTTGATGACTATGATTATGAAGGATTTATTCGGCAACAAAAGGGCGAAACTGTATGTGCTGCTGAAAAGGAAAATAATGCGAGTCTTATTATAGCTTTTAATCAAAGCATCTTTCTTTCATCGGAGGAAAGACTATGACTTCCATAAACAAATCAAGAATAGAAAAGATGTATGCAACGATGGTGTGGAGAAAAGAGGCACAATAAGAGATTTAAGTCTCGAAGATAACATGGAGCATGGAATACAATAGAATCTTTATAAAGTGATAATAATGGGACCATGATATTTTATTACTTTAAAAAGATTGTTAATTTATCGAGAGATAATTAGATCAAAAATTTAATTTAGGCTTCAAAAATTCTATTCATTTATCGAGATATTATTTTATCGAATATTATTTTATAAAGGTTCTACTGTATTACCAATGGAAGACTACAAAAGGAAAAAGGAAAGGATATTATTAAATAATTTGAGAGGACAAAGTGTTAAATAATTCAAGGGCGAATCTTCTCCAATCCGGAGAAAATGATGCAGAGAGAGAATTAGAAATATTCTAATTATTTCTATTATTATTTTTATAATTTCCTATTATTATTTTAGGGTTTTCTAGGGTTTTGAGATTTATTATAAATAAGCCGTCTAGGCCTCCTATTGTATGAAGTTGTTGATTATTAATAAAACAGCTTAGGCTTTGAGAGAAGAGTATTCTCTATCCTTGGTTTCGGTAGATCTATCGAGATCTCAACGAGTTCAAGAAGGAGGTCCCAAGTGAGAATTCTATTGAATTCCTTGGTTGAGCTGCCAGGTCCCGATCGATTTCGTAGAATCATTGGTTGAGTTGTGTTTATCTTAGCTTCCGCTACATCATACTCTTTCCGTTTCACAATAAGTATAGTTTTAAACTTTTTTTTGCTTTAAAATAAGTGTCGTGTTTGGTTTCCAAGGTAGAATTATCAATAAATTTCCAATTTTAACCTCGTTCATTTAATCAATTAACAAAGAAATGCAATAATTTAGTGTATTAACTAAGGATATTATAGAAATTTTAGTATGTTTTCTTAATATGTGTAATTAAAAACCTTAAAATACATTTATTATGAAAGAGAGAGAGAGTATATTTTTATGAGTTGTATAATATTAAATTTTAAATCTCGCATGTGGAATCTAATCTAACTAGTAGAGGAGCCTCGGAAACGCAAAAGACACTTATTTTGTGACATTGCGATTTTGTGAAGAAAATCTAAATCCTAAACCTGAGCTCGACCCAAAAACTCTAATCAAAAATTTTCAAAACCCTAACTTTTTTAATATGTCTAAACCCGAAAACCCAAAATTCAAAAAATCCCGAAAACCCTGAACCGAATAAAAAAAAACTCGAAAGTTTTTCACTCGAAACTCGAACCCGAACTAAAAACCCTAATAATTTTTTTTTTAAAATACCCCAACTTTTTTAATATGTCTAAACCCGAAATCCAAAAAATTCGGAAAACCCTAAACTACACCCAAAAAAATTCGAACCCAAACCGATTAGAAAATTTTGAAAAAAAAAGAACAGAAATCCACAATTTGATTTAAATTAGACGTATTTCTACTCTACTATTGGAAATTTTACAAATATCATTTCATCATATTCTATTGATTTGGTATTATCGATAGATTATGTTAATTTTTTTCTTTTTTGCAGATTATTTAAGAGATGGAAAACGTAAGTTTTCTAAATTTGTTTTAAGTTATTATTCTTGTATCCAAACAATTTTTTTTTTCATTTATTCTTCTATCCAAATAAATTTTTCTCTTATTCTTATATTCAAACATTAGAATGTACTTTTGAATTAATAATATAAAGATTTGATAAAATGAAAGATAAGAAGAAGAACAAGGAATAAGAAGAAAAATAAAACAATATGCATTCGAGTTTTAATCTAGTCTACACTCTACATCTAACTTATCTTAATGATAGAAAAAAATGTTATCATTATATAATCCTATCAATTTTCAAACATTTTTTGCATCAGCAATAATTAGTGTTTTGAAAACTGGACCGAACGGGTTAGTCGAATTGACTCGACTCAATTGGTTGAATGAATCCGGTTAAATTGGTTCGACCCAATTAACCCATGATTCAGAAGAATTTCCGGTTCAGTGTCCGGTCACATTGACAATAATAGAGTTGAGAGATATGGACACGGTCAACCCTGTGGGTTTGGCCCAATGAAAATGGAAGATGGATACGTGCATGTGGTCATAGTAATCACAAGAAGTGCTGACGTGACGCGGACAATAATTATTTTTGAGCATTTATCACAGCCTTAGCTCTCAGAATTAAAATATTTTAACAAAAAGAAAAATAATAATAGGGCGATCAATTATTTTTTGTAAGTCCAAACTTTTTATTTATTTAGAATTATAGTGAATCACTGATGAGTGATGACAAAAAAACCTTTCACTAAATATCTATATTTAGTTGTTGTTAAAGTGTTGACGCAAACGATATTTATATTTGGACAATGCCAAAACATATCAAGCCCATTCCTGAAATTTGATACTTTGACAACTAGTCTTAACCCGTGGTGCATGTAAACGGAAGGCTAGCGTAATAACTCTATGACTAGTAGAATACCCGCACGTTTGTGCAGTGTGACGTTATGAGTTTGTATAGAAAATTTAAACCCTAAATTTGAACCAGACCAAAAAACCCTAATCAAAAATTTTAAAAACCCAAACTTTTTTAATATGTCTAAAACCGAAAATCCGAAATCAAAAAAATCCCGAAAACCCTGAACTGAATAAAACAAATCTGGAAACTTTTTCACCCGGAACCCGACCCAGATACCCTAATCAAAATTTTAAAATACTCAATTTTTTTTAATATATCTAAACCCGAGAACCCGAAATCCAAAAAATCGGAAACCCTAAACTGAAAAAAAAAAATTCGAACCCAACCCGAACATAAATTTTCCGAACAGAAATTCACTACTGCAAATTTTGCAAATATCATTCGATCATATTCTATTGATTTGGTATTATTGTTAGTTTATGTTTTTTTTTGCAGATTTAAGAGCTGGAAAACGGAAGTTTTCTAAACCATCGGTTTGTTTTAAGTTATTATTCTTGTATCCAAACAATTTTTTCCATATATTATTCTATCTAAATAGATTTTTCTCTTATTCTTATATCCAAACAACTTTTGTTTCTATTTATTCTTCTATCCAAATAAATGTTTCTCTAATTCTTGTATCCAAACATTAGAATGTACTTCTCAATTAATAATATAAAGATATATCTTTAACCACATAATATACCATATGGATATCAAGCCAGATGCCTCCGTTTACCC